TAAGCAGAGAATGACGGAGAGTCTCCATGATTACGTGGCACGGTTCAATGAAGAGAAGCTACAGGTGGAGGGTTTAACCGATGCAGTAGCGTTATTAGCATTCATGTCAGGCATCAAGGACGAGCACCTGCCATTTTCATTCGGAAAAAAAACTCTGAGTAGTTTCGCGAAAGCACTGAGCCGAGCTCAGAAATACATGAGTGCTGGGGAGTTCTTCCATTCGAAGAAAGAGCCCGAACGGAAGCGCGCTGACCAGAAAATAGAGAGGTCAGCGGAAAAGCCCCTAAGCTCAAAGTGGGAGAAGTGAGATCGGGTCGTCGGACAGAAGGATCTAACTCGAAAGTTTGAAAAGTATACTCTGACCACAGTTCCATTGGAGTAGGTATTGATGGAGATCAAAGACCAAAGACTACTTAAATGGCCGGAGATGATGAAGACGCCTCCGAACAAAAGAAGCAAAGGGTGATACTGCCTCTTCCACAGAGACCATGGACATGCTACACATGATTGCTTTGATCTCAAGGAAGAGGTAGAAGGACTCATCCGGAAAGGGTACCTCAAAGAATATGTGGATAATCTCAAAGCAACTCCAAATATGGAAAATGATAACAAATCCCCTGCCAGGGAAATTCGTACGATCATGAGAGGTTCAACGGAACAGAAGTCTAACAGGAAGAGAAAGGCGAGTGTATGGGAAGCAAGAATAGACCTAGAACAATATGAGGTCTACCACGTAGCTTTTGCCGAACGACCTGGATAGAATTTTCGGAAGATGAGACTGCTCACCTCTTCCACCCACACAACGATGCGTTGGTTATCACCTTACAGGTAGCCAACACAAAGGTGCACCAGATCTTGGTTGATGGGGGCAGCTCAGCCGACATCATTTCCTTAGCAGCCTACAAGGCTATAGACCTAGGAGAGAAAATCCTTAAGAGCAGCCCCGCACCGCTAGTAGGACTTGGGGGGAGCAACTCATTCTGGAAGGAAGAGTGGAGCTACCAATCACATTTGGAAGTGGGCTGAAAAGCGTCATCAAGGTGGTAGAGTTTCTCGTCGTCGACTACTCGTCTTCTTACAATGCAATATTGTGAAGACCGACCATACACACGCTCAAGGCAATACCCTCGACATACCACCAGTCTATGAAATTCCCAACGCCTAGAGGGGTAGGTGAAGTCAGAGGGGAGTAACGAGTATCACACGAGTGCTACTATACCTCGCTAAGGGGTTACAACTCAGGGGCGTCTACTTCAAAGTAATCTTGACTACATCAGTGACGGATGAGATAGGATCTAGAGGCAGTTTTTTATTCTTGTTTTTCAGTTGATTTTTCTTTTTTTCTTTCGTGGATATGCATTTATTTCAATTTAATGAAATTCGTATTACTTACTTGAGCAACCACTGTCACTACTTCCCATGAGTTCCTCAAGTGGGGGTAAGATAATATCACGACGAATCGACTAAATCTCAATCAAAGGCTAAACCAGAAGCGATCATTTGGCCTAGCACAATTAAAACACGAGGCAGACAAAGAGTCGAATGAGCGACAAAAGGAGGGTATAAAACTACTGGATGTAACCAGTAGGTTAGAAACCCACAAAAACTTAAGAGCAGGCAAAGTCAACTCTGCCAAAACGAAGAGCCTTAAACGAATAGAAATTTAAAGGAATTTCATTGAAAATTCTGACATACAACTAACAATGGTAGCAAAGACAATAGAAATACAAAGCTTTTTAAAGCATGAAAACATCAATAGACGATTCGACTCCTACTCATCATCGTGACTATCATCCATGTCATCAGGAGCATTACATTCAGCCCGAAAACGCTCCTGAATGAAGGAATAGTCAACATCGGGATGCTTTTTAGAGACTTGACAGAGGGACTAGGACACGCCACATTCCATGGCGGCATTCTGCAGATCAACATAGTCCTGAGTCTTCTTAAACTCCGCGGCCAGGAATTTAGAGTTAGATAACCGATCATTAGCCTCGTTAAGCTTCCTTTGGAGAGCTGCGAGATCATCTCCAGATTTTCCCTTTCCAACCTCCAGATCGTGTCGGACATTTGCCAACAACATATTGGCTTGATCTAGAGAGGCGAGGGTCTGATCCAACTCGTCCCGACGAGCATGATGACTACGAAGATGGTTAATTTCGTCAGTGACTCTGCCCGAGAATACAACCGAAGGATTGAAAACCTGTCAAAAGTCAACAGCAGTGTTAGCAGGAAGCGACATCAGAGATTGAAAACCGACTATGATTCTGACCTGATGGAGATCGCTAAGGCAAGTATGGATGCTTTGCTGAAGGTTAGAATAACCAAAGCTTGATCCGCCGGATGACTCTCCTAATCCATGCAAAAGGGTAAAAGCCCTCCCAAGATAAATCACCCCGTCGGTTTTGATTTCATACGGGCCCGAAAAGGGGAAAGCCGACACCTAGGAAGAAGACCCAGGAGGGCCACGAGATGAGGAGGGAGTTGAAGTCCCTTGAAGACGAGCAAAGCGTTGGGGTGCGATAGGAGGCCTCGACGGTGGAGCCCGATCTCAAGAGAGGGGATCGTTCTCCATCAAGTCAGTAATTTCAACATTAGAAGCTCGGCTAGAGCCAGCACCCGAGCTTCGAGCATTCTGACAATGTTCCCTTTCAAATAAGAAGTAGCTCGTCTTAACATTTCTGCAAAGAGAGTATTACATAAGGATCGATTGAAAGCTAATTTAAAGAAAGCCTCATATGGGTACCTGGGGGTAGAAGAGGAGGAGCTTAGCCGAAATCCATCAGGTTCTGCTTGTTCACCAGATCTAGACCCCACTGCTCAAAGTCAGGCAGTCGGATGACAGAGTAGTAAAAATTCAACGCCTCGGTAGAGAGTTCGTAGGTATGGGCAGCTGCCAACAAAGAAGAAAGAAGGAGTTTAGAATGTGATGTATGAACGTCCCAATGAGAGTTCGGGAAGTTACATACCTAACTCCCTACACTCTGTCGGGACAGGGAAATGTAATCAACGGTCATCCCGAGCAAACCAGTCACTGCCAACAAGGAACCATTCATCCTTCCAATGCTTTACAGAAGATGGACCCGAAATAAGAATTTGAATTCTCAGCTAATATAAAAGTGGAAATTGTCATCAGGGTTGTGCTTAAGATAATAAAGCGACATAAAGGTGGCTGCGGTCAAGGGTTGGTCACCCCCAAGATAGGATCATAGGATGAAGCAACTGATCAATGTAGACCATCCGTTAGGAACAATTTGGGAGGGAGCCACTTAGTTAAAAGCTAGAAAATTTTGGAGAAATAGGGGCAGTGGAAGGCGAACGCCAAATTTAAACATAGCCGCATAAAATACGACTTCTCCGGAAAAGGATCCATCGACAGTCTCCTCGGGATTCGGTAGGTGGAGATTGATTGAATTGGGTATGCGATATTTCGAGCGGAGGCGCGCAAATCCCTCGCTGTAAGCATGGAGTTGTCCACCCAAGAGGGACGAAAGGGACGAAGCTCAGAAGACAAGTGGTATGATGACTCATCATCGGAAGTAGTCCACTAGAAATTTAGATAACTACTAGAAGCCATGGAGGTAGAGTAAAATATCAAAGAAGTGTAGATGATTACCTCGGATGGAAGAAGTGAGTGGAAAATGAAGAAATGAGAACGAGTTTATATAGCCATAAGAGTGTGGGAATGCAACTTGAACCCGTGGTCAAAGACTGTTAGGCAGAGACCTGCTCAGCTACCCAGAAGTCTAGGACAACCTCGGTCACCGATCCAGTAGGGACATGACCACACATCTCGCGGGAATCGATGACGTGATCTCACCTATGCGGAAACCAATACGCAACATGACAACACATCCCACGGGAACCAATGACGTGACCATACCTACACGAGAATCCACAAACAGTGGCTCGGTAGTCAAGGAGAGTGACCACTTAGTCACAAACTCCAACGGCACGACTCGACAATACAGCCAAGGAAGAGGCCACCTCGATCTAGAATCCTGACCAGGAGGTGAGAGACAGTGACTGACGCGACCCATCCCTCTTGGGTTTGTTGGATTCAAAACCCGAAGTTGGCAACCCACCAGTAAGTATACTCTCAAAGTGATAAGAATAAAAAAAATAAACATAATAAACATCACTTCGAGAGTAGGTGCAATTGTTGTGGGTAAAAGATAATAGCATAGACGAACCGTGCGGGCCGACCCGTGAGTGGTGGGCCAAGCCAAGCAGGGCTCGATCCCGACCCCTGCTCGGTGCCGAGCCCCGCCCTCTGTCTTTCGGTGGTCGGTCAAACCTAGAGCTATTGTGTTTGCCCTGCATGCGGGCCCGCGGAATCTGAAACCTAAGGTGATCGATTACAAAACCCTAGGATCTCATTCAACTATAAATAGGGAGGGGGTCACCTGTCCAAGGTAAGCTAAGACTACACCTTCAAATTTCTTACTTGTTTGAGTAATCTCTCATTTTGCTACCTTAGGCATCGGAGCCAGTGTAACTGAAGTCACACCGGGTTAGGGTTTTTGTTTGATTTTGTAGGTATTCGATCCTGAAGTATTCGAGTTGGTGCGTGGAGCGTAGAGAACCGGTTTACCAGAATCCCAGCGTCAACAATAATATATACCTATAATCTAACCTACAATATTATAAACATATACTCTTTCTAATAAGTTATATACTACATACCTTTTATTGTTATATACTAAACTCTTAGGTTATATAATTTTATTATAACGTATATACAACATATATCCAAAATATACTTTATATCCTTATAACACTATAAGCTGTCCATGTAACAATACTATTAACATATGATTTAACATTACAAAATTTATGCATATGCCCATGTCCAAAAATTTATGAGATATTTCAAATAATAATTTTAAAAATTTAGGTATCAAAAATCTTTTTCACAAAAATATAAATAAAACGATAAAAATACATAATAAAAATACATACATATCAGCATTTTCTGCCTAGTTTATTTAACTTAAGAGACTCAATAATCTTTCCCTAAAATAAAGTGAAAAGATGTATGAATAACCTCTGTCTGAATTGTTACTTGGATTTACAATTATTAATTACAAACAAATACAAAATACGAAAAAAAAAAGTGAAAAGTCAATATATGTTAGTATATGTAGCATAAACCAATTGATTATCAGGAAATCTAAATGTCTAGATTCGATTAAAACTAGAATTTCTTACTGATGTCTTCGTCGCAGTGCCTCTAGAGGCCGAGATGGATTTAGGTAGAAAAGACAGCAACCGTGGCTGGTGAGTTTTGACACTCCCTTACCTTGTTGGTTTCGAAAATTGTGCTTTACTGCACCTACTAGCCTTTGTACCACTAAAAAAGAGATGGGTCGTTGAAAAACTAGAAATAGCCGTCAAAATAGTGAAATAAAGTCGCAGGAATGATTGAGAACATAAACTATATCGACCTTTATGTGAATGTTGAAGCGTAAGAAATAAAGAATCAAATGGTAGTGAACACGATGAAATCGTGAAATAAATTCTGATGAGTGATTCTAAGGATTTTGATAATTAAAATTAAAACTAATGAGAATAATGGAATTAAATTTTTTTATTTGTTGAATAATTTATTAAAATATAAACATTTAAATAAAAACACTTGCATTAAATGACGGTTTATTCATTTAAGAAATAATATATTAAAAATATAAAATAAATGTAAAAAATATATTTATTGAGGGTAATTATTGGAAAAAAATATTAATTCAAATCTTGAAATCTACATTTGTAAATATAATACTTATGAAATATGATCCACCAAATGCAATTTTGGTTGAAATTTAAGTCTCATTTACTCAGAAGAATTGAAATAATAATGAGAGATTTTATGAAATTAGAATTAGAAACCTGACTGTGATTTACTCAAACTATTTGAAATCGAAATAAAAAACAAATATAAATATAACTGCTTAATGGATGAAATATTTTTTTATTTTTTACAAGATTGAAGGTTTGACTAGCTCAGTGCCGATTCCTTTGCACAGTCCCATATTATTGTTTATTAAAAAACAAATTAAAGGTCTAATCCTTCTCGCATTTTTTTAACTTAGAAGGAAAATAACTTATATATGAAAAGTTAAATTGCAAAATTAGCTTCTGAATTTATTTTAAAAAGGGTATGATAAGCTTATCAACTTTAAAGTTATTTAATAGATGGATCCAAAATTACCTGTATCAAACATTTTTTTTAAGTTGTGAAATATGCCCAACACAAAGGTAAATTTGAAAATTGCAAGACCACTAAAATTTGTAATTTAATCAATTTCAATCCGGAGATAAATCAACATTTTCATAACATAAAGTTGAAATATTTACTGTTTAATTGAGATACGAATTTCTTAGACAAATATTTTCATCGACACTACTACCAAATTGGAACCTCGATGTTTCCATCGTCCATAATATCGAAATTTTTTGTTGGGTATTCCGGAAAAGAAAAATTGTTTTCTAGGCACAAGGCTAAAGCTAATTAGATTGAATTTACACATCCACACAAAAAATTCCGCCCACCATGGCAGAAGATGAAGACTGAAAACGGACGTCAGCAGCAGGTTCCGGAAGGCCGCCGCCGCCGCGAACTCCGGCGGCAATCCCGGATCCGGGTCCGGATTGTCTGAAACTCCGAAAACCCACAGGGCAGCGTAATCCCCCTTTCATGGCCAAACCCGTATTCCTCCTCCGCCTCCCTC